GTGTGTGTGTGTGTGTGTGTGTGTGTGTGTGTGTGTGTGTGTGTGTGTGTGTGTGTGTGTGTTTGTGTGTGTATTTGACATTCTGTTTGCACAGTCTATTTATTGCAGTTATTACACTTGATGGTATTATATTTACATTTTCCTTTATATATGTATATAGAATATTCAGTATTTTGAAATATTAATTTGGGATGTCCTCTATTCTCATTTTCATGAATATTAATGCTAACAACAAGAATATTTTTTGTGCTACAGTTACTTCTGGTAATAATATCCCTTCAATGTATTCACTCCATAAATGGGTCTGAGTGCTTTCTCTCCATTGTGAATTGAATAAATATATATTTTTTTATTAAATTATGTTACAATTTGGCCACCTGGGGGTGCTAAAGCAGTATGAAGACTTAAGTGTTCTCCTCTAATACTCATGCAAACACGTGAAGACTAACACTGTTAACTGTGTTGGAATGCACAAACATCTTTTTATTTTATTTTCTTGTATGAACGCTCTGTTTTTTCATGTAGATCTTCATCTCCTCTCTTTCTCCTGTAAATCCCAGATGAAATTCCGCTTCCCGGCTGCGTGGCTCACCATGTTTGATGCAGTGCTCATCCTTATGCTGATTCCTCTTAAAGACAAAGTGGTGGACCCCATTCTGAAGCGCCGCGGCCTGCTGCCCTCCTCTCTGAAGAGGATTGCGGTGGGGATGTTCTTTGTAATGTCGTCAGCTGTGGCAGCAGGTGAGTGTCCTCAGCTGTCGTTTTGGTAGACCAAATGCCAAGGAAACTGGAAAGTTTTGTGATAAATACCCCATGTTTTCTGTCATTCAAAGACACAAGCACTTCAACTCTAGATTCACAGTTATATCACATTGTGGAGTGTTTTTCAATCTTAAAAGTCAGTGAATCAACTTTTGAGCTGCTTTGCAGGTGACTGACAGGAATGAGGCTAAGCCTTTGTTTAACTGATGATTGCATTTACTGTGTTGCATTTTTGTAGATTTCAGTAGATTTTCTGGCTTGAATCACAACAAAATTCTCCACATGGCAAAAAAAAGTGTTTTTTGTTATTTATCTATAYGTCAATGCGGCATTACTCCTCAGTCTCGTCAGTTATTCTAAAAAAACACAAACTCAGTCAGGCCTGTCAGTCACTGCTGCTGCACTGATATATCTGCGCTGTGATGCTTAGTGAAAGATAAAGGCCTGAAAGTAAAGAAAAGCAAATCAGTAACACTCTAGAGAATCAATGTTTATTATATTTTCTACAACCGAGCCCTATCTTCTCTCAGGTACACATTACATACTCTACATGACAAATTCTGTCAGTGGTGACCTTTAGATATTGACTGGCGRGCTTTCCTCCAATTGCCGTTTGACTGTTAAACATGCGCTTAATCAAATTTGACAGCAGTTGTTAAGGTTTACTTTGAAAGGTTTGTTTTAAGACAATAAAATAAATAAATTAGAAATGAATCAGGTATTTCATAATATATGGAAAAAATAATAATGCAATGTGTAATTGTGAAATACCTTTGCTTGTTAGAGACCTAAAATGTGCTTTAAACCATATAGATTAATTAAAAAGACTGCATTTTTACATCTGAGTCCACCATTATGCTATAATTGATTTATTTCCAAACGACAGGTTTGTGTATTGCCTTTCTATTATTAGCCTACAGTTTAAAATGCAACCTTTACAGCAGAAAACACAGCATTTAAAGCAATTAAACATGCCTCAGTATTAATTCAAACATAAAACGTGTTTTTCTTTCATGTAGGGAAAAGCTTCATTGTCATGAAGAATTATTATTTTGCAAGAGTCATATTTAAACATTTTCAACTGACTTATTCAACTTTATTTACAATAAAACTGCATACTAAAATTATACGTGATAGATTAAAGAAAAAGCATAAATTCCCTTTGTTATACGGAGAACAGGCTCATTCTTTGGTTTTACTTTATATAGATGCAATTAAGAAGAGATGGACAACTTCAAGTAATCTTCACATTTTCTGGTGTGACTTAGCCCATCAAACATGCTTTTTTCAATCCATGTGATGTGATTAAAGCTCTATTTTCTTTTCAGAGAACATGGATTTTTGCTGTAACGTGTTCATTTTAATGTTTAAAAGCTTCTCGGGCATTTATTTTTCCATTTGGCTTCTTTGGGTGGGGTGGGGAGGTGCAATCCTTGTATTTGAATTCAGGGAAAATGAATTCAAAGTACTGCAGAAAGTAATTTTGAGTTCGGGAAGTGGAGAAGGGGTTTAAGATGGTGTTGAAGTGTGAGCATTTGTCACAGACTAGTAGGTGAAAACACTACTAGAGTGAAATACAGTTTTGACCTGGATTTTAGGAGTTAAATCAGACGACATGATCAGTCCTGCACATCACAATCATATTCTACAATGCATGTTTTTTTTTACAGAAAAGATGTGTTGTCCTTGTTTGTTGTTTATCTGCAATATTTTCTCACTTCAGTCATTCAGTTTGACACAGTGGCTCCAAGGAGCTGCCTTACAGTATYATTACATGTTAAACTGAAGCCTCACTTGGCTCGATGTTTCCTAAGTACTTACTTTCACCTCTTGTACGAGCTGAAGTCCTGTTGTTTAGGTGACCGACATATGGATATAGTGAATATCCCAGAGTGACATGTTTTCCACACATTGAGTTGCTGTTTGCCACTCTGCGTTCACAGCACTCACCACACCAGTTCTGCTTAGTGTTAGGATCACTTTGGGTATCCCGTGCGTGAGATGTGCAGACATTTGTCAAGACTGGTGCAGCAGTATTTCATAAGGCTTCGTGGTACATGTGCTGACACATGTCTGGTTATCAGGACAGCTGGAGCTGGGCTGTCTCAGCTGAAGACATGCTGTCAAACCGACACTGAAGTCTTTCTGATCTTTTATGTACACCGTGTTCAAACTTCACACACATGCTGAAGCCAGCTTTGAAAGGTTGTAAAGACATTGGTGTTAAAAACATATTTTTGTGCATTTTAATACATTCTCTTCCGTTTATATACTAATTCGGCTGTAGCTTATAGCATTTACTTGACGTAAAGCTGCTAAAATCACAGAGTTGTCTGATAATGATGTTTAGTTGAGGTAAAAATAAAATAAAATCCAGGCATGTGTTTATAGTACGAGACTTGCTCTGAGCAGCCCAGTGGCCATGCTGTCTGAGATGGACGGATGGTATTATTGGATATCCGGATTACAAGGCTACAACTCTTCTGGAATGTAGCATTAAGTGTAGTCTTGATATGGGGCTGTCTCTGGGAGCTATCTGAAAATAGCCGCTGGTCATACGATAATAGCAATCGAATAAAGCTTTAAGGCAGGCGGCGGCAAATGATGACCACTGCTTGGTTGTTATCACTGAGCTGTCTGCTGTGTCCCATTACTAACTGCCCAATTATAAAAGTGTGCAGATGGGATCTTGAAGTGTTGGGAATTTTTGAAAATGGCTAAATCCTTTATATATGATGCTGCTGGATTGTTTGAATTTGACTCAACTTGGCTTTTTTATGTTGAGTCAGAAAATAAGGGTTTTAAATCTTCTAAAAGTGCATGCCACACATGGATAGAAGTAGTATGTTATATAAGTATTATGTGTGTACTGAATTTGTGTCTTTTCAGCTAAATGTTTTGTCTGTTCTGGTTTCTGTGTCCACTCAATCAGGTATTTTGGAGTCCAAACGTCTGGAGCTGGTCAAATCAAATGGTACCATCGACCAAGTACTCGGCAAAGTCGTCTACCACGCAGCCAATTTACCCATATGGTGGCAGGTGCCTCAGTATGTACTGATAGGAATCAGCGAGGTCTTTGCCAGCATTGCAGGTACAGTTGTTCGACATCCGCTATTGATTTTATGTGTTTAAAAACCTCTTATTTACTCCTGGCAAGCTAAATACTCTATGGACTCAGTATGAAATGAAGTCTGATTTAATGAAGGGACTTTGAGTTTGTTTGATTAGCCCTCACACTGAACTGCTTTGAGTAGATTGACTCAAACCAAATGGAGCTCATTCTTTTAAACAAACCTCAGTGAAGACAAATGTCCGAACGCTTTTTGAGCACTTTGATTCATCACCAGACAACACTAGCCTAATGGGTTTCTGGGTTGTTATCCAGAGTAAACAGCCCAAAACATCAATTGATAATTGATTATCCTGGTTTTCCCTCAGTTCTACAAGACATTGTTTGATAATGTGACATTTTATAAATGGGATATTGTGAAAGTAACCYATTCACAGTAGAAATGATCTAACATTTGCCTTCACGTCAGGCTTTGCATTAGTGATGCTTCTTCATCCAGGTACTGTAGGTAATAAGATGGATATGTTTTCAGCTACTGTATCCATGAGGATGCATTCACAATTGCTACACAATTATCATCATGACATAAACCTTTCACCTCAGCGTTCAGTTAGCTGCAGTGTTGACATTTACCACAATGAACATAAATATGTAGAAGCATGTGAAATAGGAATCACAGTGTACACTGCTCCCTTCAACGCACACACACACACACACACACACACACACACACACACACACACACACACAC